GTTATGCCCTGTCATATTCTTTGCCATATTTAACTTAAAAAGACGAAACTTTTTAGACTTGTAACATTTGCCGGTTGAAACGATGTTCGTGTTTTGTAGGCTATTGGAATAAAAGCGCTGTAAAACATAGCCTACATCTCATAGCATAAAGAAGCGCAATCATACTGCTTATGTATACGAATGTCAAGAAAACCAGACAGACCAGACAACTACGTATAGTGTGAGATTTTTTCTTTTTCGTTTTAACTAACTTCCTGAGGTATATTTAAGTTAGCGAGTAAGCATACTTTTCTGTTAAGCTCTGGATATTACAGTGGCATTTTGGCGTTATAATAATTGTCCCATGTGTGAAAACAAACACGTTATATAACATTTTCCAGAATTTACTTTACCGCATCAATGCTATAGTGACCACGTTATTTTTCAGAGACGGACACAAATATTAGTGGTTACGATGCTTCGCTGAGATTTCTAGCTCTCGCACAGCTGAAAAAATTCGACTTACCTTTTGATATGAGGCTGTCAATGTCCTGATCGATGCCCAAGTAGTAACATTTCCTCCAGAGTCCAGAATAGGTGGAAAACAGCGGACGCCCACACTCCGTCTCCAGGATTCCCATCCCCAGGATGGAGCGCCAGTTCTCCAGCAGTTCCTCTTCCCTGCTGCCGACGTGTATCGGCTTCATCAGTGCCAGGTTGCGCCGCGGGTTGCCGTTGTCCATCAGTGGCAGGTGATAAATCGGCATCAGCCTGCTTTTCTGGTCGTTAGGATCCGTTCCATGCTGGTCGCAGTTCACCCTGTGCTTCCTGGTGTCTGTCTCGTACCAGTGGTCGGTGAAGATAGCGGTAACCAGCAGTATTAATGACAAAAAACTCATGCACAAGCTGATCGCCGTTACCAGAGTCCGTATCTCCATATTTCAGTCATTAGGGCAGCATTTGCGCGCAGACAGGTCAGGTAGGACACCAGAGCGCCTTCTTCAGCGCCTACTAACTATGCATTACTGAAGACAGGAGTCGCAATGCTCCTTGAAAAGCACTTGGATGATGCGATCGCCCGTGTCATTTGCCCAGGACCGACCTACCCGGATCGGAGCATGGATGGACGTGGCTCTCCGGTAGATGCTCACGGTGTCACGGAGGCGTCGTGTCGGAGTTGACCCTGACCTAATCGGTGTCAGATGGGTTTCTCTTTGATTTACTCCGACTTCTCTGCACCCCTGCAGCCGTATCGCCCTGTGTCTCCTCCGTTCCTTGGATATAAATATTACCACTCCACGCGCAGATCGTGTGATGGGGACGTCTGTAGTGTCATGTCTCTACCGACATCTCTGGGTGTGTCGCGGTGACTCGGGGGGGGCGGACGGGACGCCGGTAGTTTTGTGCAGCGATATTTTAATTTTTTAGCTAAGCTTTATTGCACAAACACGTGCGATCTCACGCAATGCACAACAACAACAGCGATTTGCGCTGTATGACGTGATACTAGGGACTGAAAAGCGTAACGGCGTTTTTTAATTAATATAATTTAATAATAGACTTTCTGCAATAGTTAATTAAAACGGTTTTTTTTTAACAGCGATCATTATGGCTAGGGTCGTTCTGCCTGGCAACGGACAAATGGTTTAATATCTGCACATTGCAGGGGCGTAGTTCTTATCTCAAGAGTGGAGCAGGCATATGATTTCACAAAAAATATCTGAGTTATTTCTTCTGTCTCCCCAAATTCGACACCCACAGATAATCACAAGTGCGCAGGTAGAGGCATAAATAAAGCATAGGCTACACCCTGCGGTGTAGCCAGCACACTGCGCGAGTGTGGTTGTGGGAGAGGTGCCGCTGGCCGTGTGCTCACTTGGAGGGCTTCTCAGCCGTGATACAGAGAGGAAGCCCCCGCTATTCCTTGTGCTGGGAACACCAGCTGATCAGGCTTAGAAGCCCAACAAAAGCTGTAGTCTGCACCTGTGGACTTTTACGGCCATTGTTCGAGACAGAACTTTTTTTCTTATTACTCAGTAGTGGTCTGATGACAAGTGACTTCCTCCTTTTATCACAATAGCTGCTGTTGGGGAAAGGATGTAGGAAGTACCAGCGAGAGGGTGCAGTGTGAGAACCGTGCCAGCTCATGTGGCCATTTGAAGGAGCAAGACCCCGACCTGCGCACCACCCAAACTCCAAAACCCGAACAACACCAAACAAGAGTTAAAACGCATTTGCAGTTAGACCCCCAGAGCGTCACTAGAGATTTATATAAAAAAGGGGGGGGGGGGACTAAGCCTTTGTTAGGGGGATTTGATTTCAATAAAAATTAATGAGTATATTTTTGGAGGGGTCTAAAGAATATTTTTTTGGGGGGAGCAAAACCCTCTAAAACAGACCTACTGATGCCCCTGACCAAGCCAAAGACGTACGTGCGGTTGCCGAGGCTCCTACAGTAGCTTTGTTTGGGACTGAGCAGATTTTTATTCTAGTTGTTATGAGACCTTGTTGTTTGGGGGGGG